TCAAAAATCAACAAAAAATGGAAAAACTTATAAGGGACAGGTCACAAAACGCTATAGACGCACTAAAAAGAGACCTGGAACAACAAAACTGGGAAGAAGTATATGTTGATGATGTAAACATGGCTTACAATTCTTTTATAGGAATATTATGTAGTCAATATGACAAAAACTGTAAAACAAAAACTCAAACACAAAGAGGGAGGATGAACAAACCATGGATGACAAAAGGGCTGCTGAACGCCTGTAAGAAAAAAAATACATTATATAGATGTTTTTTAAAACTAAGAACAAGTGAAGCAGAAAGGAAATACAAAAAATATAAGAATAAATTAGTTTCTATAATCAAAAGACAAAAAAAGGAATATTATAGCAATTTATTAGAAGAAAACAAAAATAATATTAGAGCAACTTGGGGAATAATAAATAATGTCATAAAAAGAAATCAAATAGCTTCAACTGTTCCAAATTATTTTGAAAACGGACAGTATGAAATTAGTGAAACCAGTAAAATAGTAAATGAATTTAACAATTTTTTTACTAATGTGGGACCTGACCTGGCAAAAAACATTCCAAAAAGAACAAATTATAGTATAGGCGAGAATATCAAAAGCAATAAAAACAGTATATATTTAAGTCCAGTAACTAGTGATGAAATAAGAAATATTATCAATAAATGCATCAATAAAAGAAGTACTGACTGTGATGGTTTAGACATAACATTAATAAAAAATATAATAGAAAGTATTATTCATCCTTTGACTTACATATGTAATTTATCTTTTGCAACAGGGACATTTCCTAACAGGATGAAAATTGCAAAAGTCATACCACTTCATAAAAGTGGAGACAAACATATCTTTTCCAACTACAGACCAACATCTTTATTGTCACTATTCTCAAAAATATTAGAAAAATTATATATTGCCAGGTTGGACCGATTCCTGATCAATGAAGAGGTATTAAATGACAGTCAGTATGGTTTTAGAACAAATCATTCAACATCCATGGCATTAATGGAATTAACAGAAGAAATATCGGAAGCCCTTGACAAAAAAAATCATCTCATAAGTATCTTTATTGATTTAAAAAAAGCATTCGATACAGTGGATCATACAATTCTTATTAAAAAACTTTGTAAATATGGCATCACAGGGATGGCCCTAAAATGGATAACAAGTTATCTTACCGATAGGCAGCAATATGTTCAAATAAACAACACAAAATCACATATAAATAACATTACTTGTGGTGTACCACAAGGGTCGGTATTGGGCCCTAAACTATTTATCATTTATATAAATGACATTGTTGAGGCATCCAATATATTAAAATGCACCTTATTTGCAGATGATACAACGTTTTACTATTCAGGAGATAATGTTGAGCAGATGATAGAAGTGATACAAGCAGAGATGAAAAAAATTAAACTATGGTTTGATGGAAACAAACTATCATTAAACAGTGATAAATCCTGTTTTATGATATTTAGTAATACAAATTCAAATGATGAAATTTTATTAAATATAGATGAGATTAATATTAAAAGAGTTCAAGAAGTCAAGTATCTGGGAGTCATCATTGATGAAAAAATGTCTTGGAAACTGCATATAAACAGTGTCAAAACTAAAATATCTAAAACGATTGCACTGTTACATAGAGCAAAAGGGTTGCTTGATAATAATTCATTATATTTGTTGTATAACTCACTGATCATACCATACCTGAACTACTGCATTGAAATCTGGGGAACAACATATAAAACTTACACAAATTCGATCTACATCTTACAGAAAAAAGCAATAAGAATAATCACAAGGAGCAACTACAGAGATCCGTCCAATCGATTATTTATTAAATTAAAAACACTAAAATTCTATGATCTGGTGGACTACAATATTTTAAAATTTATGTATAATGCAAACAAAAGGAACGTACCTGCAGGATTAATTAAACGATTTTCAAAAAGACATAGCAAATATGATTTAAAGGGACATGAATTATTTAACATACCTAGACATCGGATACTCGTAAAAGAACATTGTGTCTCCATATATGGAGTTAAACTGTGGAATAAATATAATACTGAACTCAAGAATGCAAAAACAATATTGACTTTCAAAAAAGAAATAAAAAATAAAACGATTAACTTATATAGATCCGTTACATAAATGTGTGAGGGGAGGGGGGTGGGGGGGATTAAAGGAACAAGATATTAACCTAGTATGTGCTTGTATGTGTATATATGTATGTATATAGATCTGTAACTTAATGCTTCTTTCTGTGTAAATTGTTTTCTTTTTCTATTTTTCTCTCAAATTCATGGGTTGAGACTGTGTCGGCCAACAGGTCCAGGAACTATATTGTTCAATTTCCTTAAGAATCATATGATTATTTCATTTGTATTAATGCTATTTTAGTTAAAAGGGGCAGACAACATAAGTTTTTCTTCTTTCTGTCCCCTTTTTCATTTTGGCTTGCAGCAATTTAATTCTGATTGTATTTTTATTTTATTGTCAATAAATGAAAATAAAAGATTAAAAAAAACTGCATATAGGACACATGGATGAAAAATATAAAAGAGAAAATAAGTTATTTCAGGAAAAAAAATACAGAAGTGTGGTTGAATTTTCAGCTTTGCTTAAATAGTTTTACATGGTTTGTCCAACTTTTGGAGACTCCAAAAAGTTTATGAACGTGATGTCATCAAGTGACCGCACAGAGCCCTGCTGAGAGAAAAATGGCAGCTCACGCACCAACTGACTTGGTGTCTAAAAAGAACACAACTTCAGCAGTTTGGGAGTATTTCTAGTTTGAAGCAAACTTAAAGGGAGAGCCGGTAAACACTGAAAATTGTTGATTTGTGCAAACAAAAGATGATCGCGAAAGATGCATGCTTCATTGGAACCGCAGAGCGGCGAGCAGTAGCTGAAATAGCAGCCTTCTGCCTTTGGAGCCTGTTATTAAAAGAGGCAACAACAAACTTTTCTGGTGTAAAATAAGCCGCCAGCCTTTCCCAGATGTCGCGACTAGCCCCAAAGTAGCCGGGTGTCTGCCACAAGCTCATCAAAACGGGTTTTCAGCAGTTGGAGGTGGAAGACGGTAAGGGTAAAAATGCTCGTTTTTCAGGCATAAAATCTTTTCATAAGCTGCATTTTTTAAACGTTTTTAATATTATGTGTGTTATGTTGTTATTTTAGTAATAGTGTTTGTTGTTCAGTTTCTGAACGGAAAAGGTCCTTACCAACAGTTTGGTAAGTCCACTTGAGGCTCTTGTCATAGTTTTTAAATTTGTCCTGGCAATACCGTACACCTTGGTAAAATGTGGAAGAAGCTAGTCGGTACTAAAATTTGGATACCGCCCAAGCCAATCAATCAATCAATCCATCCGTCCGTCCATCCATCCATCCATCCATCCTTCTGTTAAGAGTTACAGATAGAGTTACATTTCTCAAATGTCCCATAGGCACATTTACTTATTATATATTTTCAATTAATGTAAAATTATTTAAATTCCATTTAGAGGTGACGTATATCCTATCATTCACAATATTACCAGTAATTATTTCTTGTCCATGTTAAGCTAAATCCATAATGTATTTGCATCCATAGTTACACTCCCATGGGTTATGCAGCATGGAGTTATTAAAGGAAAGGCAAATATGGCAGTATTGACCCATATCAGCGATCATACTGACTCGAACTTTCTGGTTGCTCTTGTATCGGTACTCATTTTGGGCTACTGTCAGCCGTAACCATTGTTTTACAAACTTTTTTTTTACAGAACTGCTTGTTACAGAGCAGTTTCCTAACATAACAAAATGGTGAATTCTTCTAATTGTTACAATGTGCTTGAGGCATTCTGGCCACTGCAGCTCTCCGTAGCTGTTTCCTGATTACACAGGGGAGGGGTTCGGCCCATGTCTCCACACAAGCAGAATAAACAGAACTACATCAGGACCCAAGGTGAAAGGGCTCGCTGAAACATGAACAAATGTCCCCAAATTATTTTAAACCAGGAAGCCAAATGCAAACTTTAGAGCAGAACATTGACCCAGAGGTGTCCTGATTGAGCAGACGTGTGAAAATATATGCAAGAAATAAACGTTACTGAGTCATTTTGTTTCTTGTTTGAAATTATATTGATATTTAAAAAATATCAAGATATTGCCCAGACATATGTGGTATCAAAATGCTTCCATTAGTAGAAGTATACATACAGTATATCTGTTATTGGACTAATTCTGGATGCTGGTTTCTGTATCAGCATTATTTAAAAGAAGAAGAAACTAGCAGTGGCAAAGATGTGAGTGAGTGGGTCTTGGATTTTAGAAAGAATATTTCAAATACTTTAGATGTGACTTTCAGCGGTGCCACAAAAGCAACAGCAATGAAAGTAACAACGGCAGCAGAATGATTAACAAAATCATCACAAACACATCTCAAACATAGCACACTGGCAAACATGCATATGCTTCAGTTTTCTTCAGCATAATGACAAGCCTCTCAAAATTCACATTGTAATCAGCACATTTAACAGCCACAGCTTCAGCAGCAACACAATTATCTTTTCATCCTCTTCACCCCATTCCAGGAGACCAGTCCTTTCAGATTCACTCTAAATGACCTAAGAGCCTCTTAAGTAGGGAGAAAATTACAGCTGGACTCAATGCTTCCCTCTATCTTCTTTTCCTCAGAATAAAACCGACATCCCAAGCACAAGACTGGAAGTATTTGATAGTGAAACTGAATCTCAGAGGAGATGGTGAGACAGTGGAAGGAGAAGGCAGAGGAGAAGCTCTGCTGTGCAGCATCAAAGGCTAACATCACCCTGGTTTAAACAGCTTTTACAAGGTTGATAGCCAGGTCATTAGCCGGGAGGATGGCTCACCAAGAGACAGCACCAGCAAAGTCTGAAGATTAACCATCAAAGGCTGCATGGCCACAAAGACAGGCATACAAACCCAAACCCAAAAAGCCAAAATCCCACACAGCGGCCTTACCTTCCTGCACTGCCTGGAATGGATTGTTGGGCTCGATGATTTTAATGGAGTGTGTGATCTTTTCACTGTGCAGGATGTCGTCGCTCAGACTCAGGTCAGAAACGGCGAGCTGAAACACCTCATCGTCCCGCACAGCGTTCTCCTCAAATATCGCACCTAGGCAGGTAGAAACAGCAAGAAGAGAGGGGTCAGACTGGAGCAGGTCATTCCAAAAAAGTTACCGACTTCAAATGAAAGAGTTTCTGTGAACAAAACACCCAAATTCCAGCATGACTAGCAGCAGTGCAGTCTGACAGAAAATGTTTTTCATTCTGAAACACAAACAATGAGAATCCTAAATTATAGCATGTCACAGTCTGAATTCAAATAAATCAATCAAACAAAGCCAGCATTCTCTCTATTGTACTTGAAAATAATATTAAAGGAGTTTTAATTCACAAAGATACCAATCTTCCTGCAGAGGATCGGTGACATGAACAAAATAGCATGAAGCATTTCTAGTAAATGTCAATTGCATGGAGAAGATGTGAAAGTAAACAAACGGGGAGATAAAGAATCAAAGTCACGAATCCTGACATCAGAAATTACAGCTAAAATGTTTATATCAAACGTGTAATGAAGCAGCTCTTTATCTGCCTGTTCAGTCTCATGAAATCATTCAGAAAAACAAGAGACCCTTTTAAATCAAAGAGAGCCGTTTTTACAACAAAACTTGTACACATCGCTAAACATCAGAGATTTAAGGAAGATTTTTTGTCATTTTGTGAGTTTCATAAAAGAGGATCAACGTTGCATCGCCTAGGAAGTGATAAGCAAGATCTGAAAATCGGATTTCTACAATGGCTTTAAGTTTTAGGTGAGTAGAAAGATCTTTTAATAACCTAATGCAATGATTTTCATTGAAAATTCTTGTACACATTAGAAACTTTTACCTGTTTGCCGACATTAAAGTGTGCATTAGTGTGCAAATGATCGGTGTTGTAAAGTTTTATGGTAGAAGGTGAGTTTTAATCAAAAGGAGTATATTGAGTATATTTCACTACATGTGTAATATTTGCATGAGCTGGACAAGATTTGAAAGCCTAGAATCTAGACCGTCATTTACCGAAGCAAAATTATTTTACTTTGCATGTCGGTCTAGGCATGATGTGATGGCCACATCCATGTCCACACAACAGTGAACATGGGGCAGGCAAACAGTGTTGAAGGGGTTCTGTCAGCTAAATACAGGAGGAGCTGATGGGGCCAAACCAATAGCTCCAGGAAGAAGGAACTGAAGGATTTCATTTAGTTTATTATTTTGTCAATCTTTAATTAATTGAAGTTTGAAGTTAAATAGTTAGGTTTATGGGTTAGGATGTTTAAGTTTATTAACAATCTGACTGTACTGATTTGTGTTTTTAGTTTTAGTTAGTAAATGTTTGTCTAGTAATCCCTATTGTTCATATGATCTGATCAGCCAGTGTGTATATATACCCTTGTTTGTTAGTTAGGTCACTTATGGTTTCAGTCAGTCGACATGTTAAGTTAGCAGTTTATTGAGTTTCAGTTTGTTTGTTTGACCTCTTTTATGAGCTTGAGCTATTTTTGTGAAGATATTTTAAAAAAAAGTAAATTAAAGAGCCTCTATTTTTTGAGATTCCCTGTGTTCCTTCACTTATTTGACTTGGTTCTACACATGCTCCATTGGAACCTCCATAAGCCCTACCAGCATTGTGGCTGACCAATCACTGCACATTTATTTACTAAAATGATGTACTGTTTTGTGTTTTTTTATGTTTTGTGCAGTTCTTCTATGATGTAATGGCGGACTACTCTATTGACTGACATCCATAGCAGTTCAATATACTCCCATAGGTCTATAAGTTTTGTGGACCAATCACAGTGCTTTATCAGTCAGGTAGGCGAGCTGTTACTGCAACTGACTGAAATTAAGATGGCCACAGCTATGTAGCGGTTCAGTAATAGTACTCTATTGGTTTGGTGGGCCAATCACAGAACTCAGTGGGTGGGATCTTACTGAAAAAACAAAGATGGCAATTGCTTGTTTGAAATGGATTTGGCTTCCACTTTAGACTTTTTTGATGTGGGCTTTTCTCTTAGTCAAGAGAAGATAGAGGTACTTAAAGTGACAGTGTGTATTTTTCCTGGTGGTCAGTTGAAGTAACAACCCACCCACCTGGCTGATAAAATCACTGTGATTGGCGATGGGGGCAGTAGATTACCAAATCGTTGCAAGCAAGCAGTATTTTTGTGTTGGAGTAAGACCTTACCAATGAATGCCCATTAGGCTCAAAAAGCCCTGAGTGGTGCAAACGTCAGCAAAATAACAAACACATCAGACCCTTTTATCACTGGCAACAAGTGAAGAGGTAAATGTGTAAAACACTAACATATGAGAATGGAGAAAGTTTTGTAACCATTTTTTTCAAATCAGTAAATGCATTTTGTCCTCATGGGCTCCCGTAGAAGGAAACATGGCATCTAAAATGGTGTCGCCCAGAGACTTAAGTTGCTTTTATAGGACACACCATGCCGGCATGTCAGCATAATATTACCGCAATGGTATGTCTATAAACGCTCCATGCCGGCATGGCGTTGCGTGAATATTGCAGCATTCATTCCACCTCGCTTGGTAGTAATATTGCTGCATCAGCCCCTCGCCTCTGACGGCTAAATGTGTGTCAGCCCTGCTAATCCCTTTGGAGCGACTGTGGGAGGACCCCCAGCAAAAGAAGGTGGTCGAGTTAGTCACGTGTACTGCGCGCTGAGTGCCGGCCAGAAGGAAAGCTGGCTGGACGAACGCGGAGACCATGGAGCTTTTGGCCGTGCGAGCAGACGAACAGATTGAGTGAGAGGCAGACAGCTGTTCGACAGAGTGGTGAAAACACTAACTGAGCAGGGCGTCAAGCGGGACAAAAAGCAGGTCACATCAAAGCTAAAAGCCCTGAAAAAGACATTTCATCTGTCTGACATGTCTTCCGTCTGACGCTGAATGCACGACCCTGTACGTCACATGCGGGGGGGGGGGGGGTCAGCGACCTCCCTATATCCCGTCTTGGTTGGAGAGGTGCCTGATGGCAGTATATTCTAGCTTCAGCTTTGCTACTATAAATGCCAAAATCCTCCCCAGGGTGACGCAGCAAATCCTGTTTTGAAAACGCTATGGTCCTATAAAAACAGCTTTAGACCCGCTACCATGTATTGTAGACCTGATTTTTATGGTTATGTGTTATGAAGCCGCCAGTATTTTTCAACAACTGACCATCATTTAATTCATTCTCAACAACATTTTGATGGATGTTTCCAAAAATAATAGTAAAAACTACACAATGGCTCTTTAAGTTTATTTAGAAAAAGGATGTATTTGCACCTTCTTTGAAGTGGTATGGTGGACTGTCTCGTTGACTGACATCCGTAGCAGTGAGCATGCCATGATGTTTGTTATCCAATATTATGTGGGGACAGTTTGAAAGACAACTGTAGAGACCACCCCACAACTGAGAGCCATTAATAGATCGTGGCCAGACAATATATTCACATATAGGACTGCTTGCCAGGCTAACGATTTGCTACTTACTGTAGAAAAGTCCCTATTTGCAGTGATCATTCCTGTTTAGCAGGTTATCACCTTCAGTAAACATGAATTAGAAACAACATTACTTATCTAAATGTCAGTTTTTGTTTTTGTGTGAACTCAAAATTACATTTTTAAAAGGTTAATTTGAAGGGACTCTGCAAAGAAACAAAAACCAGCGGGCCTGCAGTGTCCTCATTGTGTCCTGTACCTAGGAATTTAACTCTGTGTGATCTTAAACTTCTGCTATGTAATGACAAGGCTCGTGGTGACTACTGATTCACAGTCTAAAAGTCTACAGCAGGGGTCAACAACCTGGTGCCCCCACGAACTATGAAAGGTGCCCACAAGCCATTTTTCCAAAAGTCTGTTGCCACTTATTTTAATTACAAATGCATTCATATAGAAAATAAGATTTTCTTTAAATACATTAAAATATGTTTATTATTCATGAAGGTTTGGTAAACTTTGATCTATTGTATTCACGTTTGGCAGCCCTTCGTGTGGCTCAGTACCCATGAAGTAGCTCTCAGCCTCACTAAGGTTGGTAAACCCCTGGGGTAGGGCTGGGCAATATGGCCTAAAATCAATTATCACGATATAGTGACGATTTCACCTAGATAATAAATGGACAATAACTACAGGTGTGCGCAGGTGTGCAACAATAAATTTTCTATTTATTGCCCAGCCCTACCCTGGGGTTAAGGCTGGGCAATTAATCGAAAATGTATTATCGAAATTTCTGACTCTTATTGTGATAATTTTCCCATGTCAATAAATTTGATAATAAAAAGAAAATATGTGTGTAGGTTGGCAGCGTTCATGCCCCTTTGAGAAGCTCTACCACCTTGAGTCGTGTAAAAATGTGATTCAACATGATGCATGTGACAACCCCATCTAGTGGACAACTTTTGTTTCTGCACACACCTGTAGTTATCGTCCATTGTTACGGCTGCTGCCGTGTTGGAAGCAAATGGTGTGCTGCACTCCGTTTTATGACCAGCAGTTCAGCAGCGCAGCAGAGCAGCACCGTGGACAGCGGCTCCTTGGGAAAGTTCATTCAGGACCATGGACAGCGCCGGAGCGGTGGTCACGGCCAGCTGGGACTTCTCACCTCATCAGCTGGCCCTTCAAAAGCGGCCAGCTGGAGCTCATCAGGGGAGAGAAATGTTTGTGGATTGCAGTAGCAACGTGTGTTCTCTCCCCTTGGTGGTTGTCTGATGGTTTTGTGGTTTTTTTAACCAGCTTGTCGGTTACTTCTTGTTTAGAATTAACTTCAGGACTTTGAGTGTTGTGTGAGTTAACCGGTAATGTTTGGTTTGGTGAGCCCCCAGGAGCGTCTTTGGTAATTTACCAGGTGGGGTATTCCCCTTTTGAGGTCTTCTCTGTTTCTTGAGCCATTTTTGGTATTCGGACAACTTTAGTTCAGTTAGAAATTTTGTTTGGTTTGTCTTTTAGAAAAACCTTTTTGGTTTAACTACTTGGTGGAATTGCTGCCCTTTCTTAAGTTCCAAGCCTTTTAAATAGAGTGGTTGGTCCTCTGGACATTTTCAGTTACGTTTAACTTGGTTAATTTCTT